TGCGGATTGGGATTGGTACCAGTCGGCTGGGATTGGGACCAGTCGGTGGAGATTGGGCCGACATGCGGGGCGCGCCCCTGGGAGCCTGTGAATCAGCGAGGAGCCACACAGACCAAAACCATCCTTCTGTGTGGCCCCTCGCTGCGCCGTAAGCTCGCCGCAGCGCTGTCCGCCAGCCCGTAGGAAGCAGGCGCGCCGCGCGCCGACGAGCGGCGCGCCCCCCCGGGGGAGGGAGTCGGGCGCGGCCAGGACGAGGATAAGTCCGTCCCAGAGCCATCCAGAACGCTCTCAGAGCGTTCTGGAACGCTCTCTGAGAAGGCCGTGGCGCCCGATACGTCCTCCATAGCTGCCAGATCTCAGAGATTCTCGATTCATCCTCACGCGATGTTATCCTCGTTTTGGCTTCGTCTTAGGGAGAGGATGAGGTATGAGGAATGAGGCCCAGAGCCCCGTGCGCTTCTTTTCGCTGTTGTTCTTGATTCTTGGCGTCATCCCCTGATCTGACGAGACCAAGGCGGATGGCCCGCAATCGCAAGTTTCAGTGCCCATCCCCAGCGGGTCCGTGGAAGCCCAAGAGGCCTCCGCGGAGGCTCTTGGAGGCCACCGACACAGAGTCATAAACGCTAAAGGAACATGTATCCTCGACTACCCAGCGCAAAAAGTAGCAGCGATGGGCAAGGAGATCCTCTCCAATGTGGCAGACCTTCTGCTGTTCTTTTTCCTCCTCCCTGAAGTTCTGGGCACACTCCAGACCCCGCTTTACCGCCCGTTATGCCGTCCTGACCCCCAGACGCCCCCCTCGTCCCAGCTTCGTCTCACGGGGGGGGGGGGGGCCGCGCGAGGAGGACGACGACGAGGACGACGAGGACGAGGAGAACGAGGAGGAGGACGAGGAGGAGGAAGAGGAGGAGGAGGAGGAGGAGGAGGAAGGGAGTGAAGGACGGAGCGTTGGAGGAGGGAGGCGGAGGACGGAGGCGGAGGAGCAAGGGAGGCGCAGGACGTTTCCGCGCCCCGGTGCCTCCAGAGCCTCCGGGGCGGGCCCCGCGCGCCCACGCCGGGCGGCGGCTCCCGAGGGGCCTGTCCGGGGGGGCGGCGTGGCACGGCCAGAGGCCCCGACAGCAAGGGGGGGGCGCCCCGGGCAGGTTTCCCCTCGCTTCGGGCCCCAGGATCGGGGGCGGCACAGAGGGGGGTGATGGCTGGGAGGGGGGGGGGGGGGGGAACATGGCGGGGGCCATGATGTTTCCCAGATTTCATGGCGCCTCTGCTCATTTCGTCACGTCCCTGGCCCCCCCGCGGGGCCGCGCACATGCCGCCGGTCATGATTTGCACCCCGCTCTTGGCCGCTCCCAACAGGACCCTCACCGTGGCATCGCTCGGACCTGGCGGGTGGTCTGATGGGGGGTGATTTGAATGGGGGGGGTGAAGAGATGGGCCCTTTCGGGGGGCCCTGTAGGGCCCCTTTGGGAGCCAGCAGGGTCCCAAAAATTGGCCCCAAAGAACCCCTGGAGGGCCCATTTCTTCACCCCCCCACATCACCCCCCCCTTTCCAACCGCCCGATCGGACGTGTGCATAGTTCTCTCGGCGAGGACCATCGAGCATCTTGACCGTCCTGCAAAAAAAGATGCGCACGAGGTCGAAAGCATGCACGGGGAATGGGCGTCCGAGCGATGGCAAGTCACGAATCGATGCGGCTCGCAAAACGGCACAGAAGGCCTGGGTCTGGGGCTCCAGTCGCGGTGTTCCACGGTGCTTTTGTTTGTTCGCGTCGTCGGATCTCAGATGCGGTCCGGAACTTTGACTCGACAGGTCGCCTTGCCGGTTCTTTGCCAACCGCGCCTCGTCGCGACGCGCAATCCACGTCCCCATTCGCAGGCGTCACCGTCCCGAGTTGATTCCAGCCTCCCGCCCCGCAGAATGGAGCGCCACGCTATCAGCTTGCATAGTAGAGCGTGTCGCCAGGGCCGCCGCCGCGACGCGCTATCTAATAGGTCCCTGCCGTGGGGAAGGGGGAGTGCGAGATCTGCTGCGCGCAGCTGGTTTCGATCCCGCCGCCAGGAGCTTTCCTCGATACACCAGCGCCTCCAGCGAGGCACAGGGAAAACCAGTTGCGCGGGCTGATTCGCCGACCCCCTTTCTACTAGGCTTCCCTTCCATCCGACCCGAGGGGCCAGATATAGCAAGAGAGAGAGAGAGACAGAGGAGAGAGAGAGAGAGAGAGGAGATAAGATTTAGAAGAGAGAATAAAGAATTGATATGAAAAGTGAAAGACACAAGGGACAAAATGTGAAATGTAAAACATAGAGAGAAGTGAGGAAACAAAGAGAGAGAGAGAGAGACACACACACACACTATGCAGCCATTTGGGCTCAAGCCATCTGGCTCGGCAGCTGCGTGCTCGGGGCTCGCCCAGCCAGCGACCCAGCACGATCGACAGCTCGGAGCAGGCATGGGCGAGGAGGGTCTGCTGTCCAAGCCCACCAACGCGGAGCGGAAGGAGACTGGGGCCAGGCTCCAGGGCGGCGCTGGCAAGCTGCGAGCCCCCTGGCCGCTGCCGGTGGAGAGCAGCGCCCGGGAGGGCACGAAGGGCAAGGGACCAGGCCCGCAGACCACTGGCACGGAGGCGGCTCCGAAGCCGTCGAGCGCCGCGGACATCCTCGCCAGCTTCCGGAGCGGCTGGAGGGCCAGGGTCCAGGCGCTCCCCAAGCCCGAGGAGGGCAGCGCAGCCGCGGAGGCCAGCGGCGGCGGCCCAGGGGACGCCGAGCAGGCCAGCGGCGGCCGCGACAGCGCGGCCAGGCCCGCGGGAGCCGACGGCGCGCGGCCTCCGGGCGCCCGTGGGGGCGGCGGCGCCCAGGAGCACGATCGTAAAGACGACCACGCTGGCGACCGCGGCCGCCACGACAGCAGCGACCGCGGCCGCGGCCAGCGCGTCCAGGGCCGCGACGAGCCAGGCAACAGCCGGGGCGGAGGCGGCAGGCGCAGCCGAAGCCGGGGCGCAGGCGGAGGCGGAGGCGGAGGCAGCAGATGGAGCCGCAGCCGCAGCCGCAGCCGCAGCCGCAGCCGCAGTCGGGGCGGAGGCGGGGGCGGAGGCAGCAGACGCAGCCGCAGCCGCAGTCGGGGCGGAGGCGGAGGCGGAGGCAGCAGACGCAGCCGCAGCCGCAGTAGGGGCGGAGGCGGAGGCGGAGGCGGTCGCAAGCGGCCGCGGAGTGGGTCCAAGGATCGCGGGAGAAGCGGCGGGAGGAGCGGCGGCAGTCCCAGGCGTCGGCCTTCCGAAAGTCCAAGGGCGGCTCAGGGGGGCGAGGAGAGAAACCGTTCCTGACATCATATGGCCCGTTCAGATGATTCACCCCTTCGGGCCCTGTGGCCGCCACTGGAACTTTGGCGGGCCAGAGGCGAGGTCCAAGTCCTCAGAAGAGCCGCCGCCAGGAGAACGACCACCGCAGCAGGCGGAGCAACCTGATCAAGGTGATCTGTGCGAACTCTGGTCTTCTAATCCTCACCCTGCATCGCGCGGTCGAGACATCCGCACGACGTCCACAGCCAGTTCTGGGAATGAAAGGTTGTTGTGCCAGCTGGCGTCCCCGAAGTTGATTATTGCATGATCTCTTGTAATTTCCGTGGGTTGCACGGAAACCAATTACGACGCCCGCGCGAAGCCTCCTGACGTATTCCCCCAGCGAGGTCCAAGAAGTTTGACCAGATGCGGTCATTAGGATCCGCTTGCAGACCCACCCAGCGCGAAGGGTTCGTGTGCCCTTCTTGCGCCACCGTGTGCTTTTGATTGATGAGGAGAGAGCGACAAGCCCTGCCCAGAAGAGACCACCATCGAGGGCCTCAAAATTCGATTGCGCTCGGGTTCGTGTTTTGGCCTTGCCGGAATTCACTCGATTGGTTGCTTGGCCCCTTGGCAACTTCCTGGGCAGGAGTTGTGTTGATAGTCAGAGGGGGTGGGAGGAGGAGGAGTCTCGCTTCGCTTCGACTCCCATTCAGGCGCACCTCCAACCGATCGTCACCGATACCCTTTGTTGGGGCCCGGGGTTCTGTGTCAAGGACCCCTCTCTCTGTGGAGGTGGAGGAGTATGAGCCAGAGGAATGGGAAGGTGACGGGCGTTCCCCGCGACCTCTCCGAGAACGAGATCCGCGAGGTCTTCGAATCGGAGGCAGGGCCCGTCGGCAGCTGCGAGCTCGATCGCGGCACGGCCTACCTGCGGTTCAAGCGCCCCGAGCACGCCGCCAAGGCGGCAGACATCTTCGACAGGGGCGAGCTGAATGGCAAGGTCATCAAGGTGACAGTGGAGGACTGAGGGCCCCAGTTCGGAGCAGGTGGCGCGGGGGCAGTGCGGGCGGCCGCCTCGCGGGCTGAAATCTGAGGCGCAGCCGGCGTGGAGGTTGGTGCCTTGAGGTTGGGGCTTGGGGTCAGGGCAAGCGGTAGGGGCGTTGTTTGTTAGCTTTGCTCCCCTCATCTGCCCTCGACCGTGGACTCTGTTCCGGCCCACTCCTCAGGCGTTCGACCAGCCAGCCCACCCCAGCCGGCCTCGGCCGAGGCCAGAGCGAGGACACAGCGCGCCGCTGAAAGCGGGGTGGCACGCACTTGCACTCGCCAAGGCATTGGCAGTAGTCGTAGGTTGCGCTGCCGGGCACTCGCAGTCGAGCATACGAAAAGGGAGCATGCGAAAAGGGCATGGGGAGGGAGAGACGTTGGCAGGGCTTCTTCTCATTATGCTCGCCTCCCTTCGCAAGCCCGGCGGGTAGCGGACCGCGGTCGTTATGGGGCTTGCCGCCCACCCGGCCCACGGGGGGCCCGGCGCCAGCACGGTTTGAGAGCCGCGCGCGTTCTCCTCGGTGGCCGAGTGGGCCTGCCTTGCTGCCTGGGTCCTGGGAAGAAAGGGGACGTCGGCGGCGTGGCCGCACCGCGACCTCCCCCAGAGCCTCTGGGCCCCCCACGCTTGGCATGGCTTCCCTTGGTTCGACCACGGTTGCCCCCGCCCCCATACAAGTCGCCCCTCGCCCAAGGCTTTGTTGGCGACATCCTCTTACTCCCGCTCTTCCTCCTCCTCCTCCTCGCTCCTCCTCGCTCCTCCTCCTCCTCGTCCTCCTCCTCCTCCTCCTCTTCCTTCTCCTCCTCCTCCTCCTCCTCCTCCTCCTCCTCCTCCTCCTCCTCCTCCTCCTCCTCCTCCTCCTCTTCCTCCTCGTCCTCATTCTCCTTCTCCTCCTTCTCCTTCTCCTTCTGATGTTCCTTCTCCTCCCCTCCTCATCCATCCTCCTCCCTCCCCGTTCTCTCGTCATATCTTCTCCCTCCTGCTCATCATTCCCCTGCTCCCTCCCCTTTCCCTCCTCTCCACTGATTCATCCTGGCACATCCCCAGACGTGTCCCGAGGGCGGGCTGGGCGTTTCGCTTGAGACGTCCACACGATCTACGATCCTGAAGCTTGAAATTTGCGAGTGTTTCGCGGACGGAAGGGGGGTGCAAAATATATGTCTCGCTTCAGCGCCATGCGTGTTATGTCTGAAGTGTGCAACCGTTTCACGGATGGAGGGCAGGTCGTTATCACATTGTGGTTCTCGCCTTAGCGCTGCGCACATTCGTTCTCAATGATTGCAACAGCTTCAAGGATGGAGGGCGGCTCTTTTTCAAAATGTGGTTCTCGCCTGAGCGCCGCCGCGCACATTCGCCTTAAAAGATGGCGCCTAATTCAAGGATTCGTAGGGTTGACGTCCAAAGAATGGCGCTTTGGCACGATTTAGGAGTGATTCGCCGTGCGGAAGTCCCCGGAATTCTGTTCTGCCACGATTTAGGATTCTGAGGACGCAACGGTCACGTTGATCCGCGGCGCTGAAGTCTTGGAAGTGGTGCTTCGGTACGGTTGAGGAACCTCAGGCAGTTGTCTTCTAATGGGCCATATCCCGTAATGGAAACAACTTGTAGGGACCTAAAGTGGAAGTTTTGAGGGAGGGTTTAGTGCAACATCGTTGATGCCTCTTGGGTTTACACTGGTCCTCCTCCTCGTTCTCCTCCTCCTCCTCCTCCTCCTCCTCCTCCTCCTCCTCCTCCTCCTCCTCCGCCTCCGCCTCCTCCGCCTCCTTATCATCATGCTCCTCCTCTCCCTCCTCCTCCTCCTCCTCCTCCTCCTCCTCCTCCTCCTCCTCCTCCTCCTCCTCCTCCTTCTCGCCGGGGCAGGGGACTCAAGACCTCTGGGGGGAGCCGGGCGGTGGAGGTGGCACGGCAGCCCGCGCATGTTTTCTTGCCGCATTACCGCTCGCGCCTCTGGGCCGGCTACAGAGGGGGGCAAGAAACAACAAAAGCGCTCATCGCCGATCCTCGCTGGTCGAGCATCGAAGTTGTGGGCCTCCTGGGACACCTCGCGCATCCAAGCGAGCTACAGAGGGGGGCAAGAAGAAACAACAAAAGTTATCCTCGTCGATCCTCGCTGGTCGAGGATCGAAGTTGTGGGCCTGCTGGGACGCCCGAAGGCTTCTGGAGGCCTCTGGTGACTTCAGTACGGTCGGACCGAGGTATAAGATCGAGGTCGGCTCGGGGAGGGTATCATAGTGTTCTTCGTGTGTTGTTGGATGTTCTTGTGCATCCCGGGGGGAGGGCACCGTCGAAAGTTCTTCAGTTTGGCCGGTGGAGGGTCTCATGTTCTTGAAGGGTGTTCTTCTGTTCCAGTTCCGGCTGTGCCCCGCTCCGGAGATGTAGTCGCCAGTGGCCAGGGGACGCGTCCGCCCGCTACAGTCAAGACGCTGAATTGAGGACCAATTTGGGCTGAGGGAGGGGCTCTGGTTTTCGGGCCGTGACTTACATAGGTCTATATCGGGAAGGTGTTCGTATCCGAGGCTCGCCGTGGCCAGAAAAGCCCCTCCGTTCCAAGTTTGGCGTTCCTTGTGGTAGCACGATGACTGTACCCTTCCGCTCGGACCGCACTGAGGGCTCGAGACCCCGAAGCAGTCGACCGGACTTTCGACCAGACTTGACAACAGTCAAAACGCGAGGAAGCTTGAGCATTTCTGATCGCTCCTGGGCCTGGTCGTCACACTGCGGTGTTTGCACAGTGACAGCACCTCTGGACCATAGCACGTACCCAACGGCACCCCAGTTTCAACTTGCAGTGGCTCTCCGGGGCAGTTCTTCGGCTTCTCTGCGGGGCAGGGTGTCGAAGGGCCGCCCCAGCCCCTCACCCCACCCTGGTTGGAGTGGCTTTGGTCAGCCTTGCCATTTCGTTGTCGTCTTGGGGGTACGAGGAGGCAGAAAGCATGGATCTCCCCATGCTCAATGAGGCTCCCGTAACCTAGGTAGCGCGACGAGTTGGGGATATCATCGCAGTTCTTGCCAAAGTGCAATCGGGGTTCTGGCCAGACAGTGCCACAGGGCCACGTGGTAGGAGTCGGCAGGCTCTTCGTTGCCGCAAGTGGGCGGCGCTGACCTGGGCACCCAGAAGCTCAAGGCTTTCGCGCTGGCCAGGCAATTGCCACACGCACTGCTCCAAAGTGGAAGTGCAAGCTCCTTGACAATAGAGAGACACTGCTCTCTCGGCAGAGAAAACAAGATGCTAGCACCAAGCTTGAACCAGCGGCAGCTGGCCTCCAGTCGGTTTGGGGGGCTCAGTTTCAGAATCACGGCCTGGAAGCGCGCACTCAGCACGGAGCCGCGGACTTTGGGGCAGGCACGAGAGTAGAGGAGTGGAGGCTAGAGCCTGACGGTTTGTTGCGTCCTCCCGGTGCGCCGGGAATCACCCTCCCCCCCCCGCCCCGCGCCCGCGCGAGAGGAGTACTACACCCAGAATGCCATCTGCAGGCGGAGCCGACGACTGCGGCGGCCGCTGCTCAGAGCGCAGACACCCGGCCCCGATGCCCTGCCCGATGCCGCGGCGTGCTCGCCGCCTCGGCCCCGTGCGGGCCTCGCCTGCCGCCCGGGCCACCGCCCACGTGGCGTGCCGCCTGCCGAGCGGCGCGCACGACCGGCCTTCCAGAGTCGGGCGCGCGGGCTCTCGAGAGCGGGGCGCTGGGCCACGGGGGGGGGGGCGGGCAGCGCTGGAGAGCTGCGTCCATCGATCGAGGGGTGTCCACGGGTCGTGAGTCGCTGCTCCATCGATATCTCGGGGAGCCAGGCGACTCGTCGAGCTTTCGGCGGGCGGCGTGGTCCGTGCCCTTGGGTGTGTCAGGCGCGCTGGGCCTGTCCTCGGATAAGCTCGTCGGATCAAGGTGGTGGTCCTAGGGGAAGGGCGCTTGAGGCCTCAGCTACCCCAGGCTGTTCAAGGGACGCTGGTCCCCAGAGAGCTCTGGACTTCTTTGATCAACGCTCGCAGTTCCTTGCTTAGCGTGCGCTCACCATACCAGGCGTCAGGTGTTCATGCATGAATTGCTGAGCAGAGTTCTGCGAAGGCATTGTTCGGCTTCATGTTGGGCGTCGGGGCTGGTGCGGTCTGAGATTCGGACGCCTGCCTCCTGGGTTTCTGCGCATCGGTTTGTTTTGGTTTCGAATATGAATGGAGGCTGGTCAACCAAACGTAAGATCGACAGCATTGGTCGGTGAAACCAGGGGGACGGTGGCATGCTGATTTAGATTTACCGGTCTAGGGTGGGGTCCCCGATCAAAGGTTCTATCAGTTGCATCCACTCGGGGTTGCTGAGTCGATGCTTGTAGCCCTTGCAGTAGGACAGGTCACATGTCGCTTCTCATGTGGCCCCCTTCTCCCACAGCGGGCAAAGCGAGTGAGGCAGAATTTCTGCGTGAACCCAGTGTTCCCGGGCCTCAACGACCTCTCGCTCCTGGAGCAGTTGGTCTGGCAATGCAGCTCACACGCTCAGGCCGGGCCCTTGCCGAGCGCTGCAGTCGGATGGGATTGAGGGAGAGAGGAAGCGCCGCTTTGCGTCTCCGCCTGCATGGACCTATGCCTTCGACATTCGGTCGCTCGGACCAGAGGCAGCCGCCCAGGAGAAATACAGCAGAGCCGCTAGGGCTCTCGGGCAGCACCGTCATCCGAACATAGGTTGGGAGATCCTTCGGGGACCCCATCACTTGATCGCCCCTGGGGAAATCCGTCGAAGACCAGAACGCCGAGCACCGATCTCCGCCCCGAACTTCCCGCCGATCAGGGACGATCTCCGAGGTGGCATCATCTGGCCAGTGATGGGAAGACCCCTTTGGTGGTAGACTTGTCATCTCATCGAACTCTTAGGAACCGTGACGCCGAGCTCCGAGCACCGCCGAATTTCCGCCGGCCATTGCCAATTCATACAGGCCAAGTCGGAGCCCACGCACTGTTTGGTCAATGCAGACGGGATCGAGAGCTCCTGCCGTGCTTTTGTCACGACGTCGGATGCCTGGGAAAGCTCGGACGCCAGTGGGCCCTAATGCCCCCCCCCTTCCATGCGGGGAGAGGGGGGTGGGAACTGTGGGGGTACCCAGCGTGCGAGTGGCGCGAGAGGGGCCCGTCTGGGCACTGGAGACCACTCCCGGTGGCTTGCGTTGGGGGGTCGGTCAAGGGACGCATGCAGCCTCCATCCAAGCCCCCGTTCCGCACAAGGGAGGGAGATGGAAGTAGTGGGAAAGGGGAGACAGGGAATAGAAGAGAGACAGGGGGCGGGGTAAGAGGGACGGATGGAGAAACGGCGCACGTGGGACGGGGCATAGGAATGGGGAACCGGGGAGGGGGGGGGCGGAGAGAGGTGGAGCATGAGAGAGGGGGGGGGGAGGGACAGGAGAAGACAGAGGGGAAGGACGAGGGGAAAAGGGGAGGGGAAGGCGTGAGCGGGGGGGTGGGTGAGAGGGGAGACTCTGAGGGAGGTGTCCTTCGCTGGGCAAATCGTGCAAAGCGCGCGCCCACGGTGCCCATTGCCTCCACGTTTTTCGTTTATGACTGCTACTCTCCCTCCGACTCTGAAGTTGTCCGGAAGATCTCCCGCCCCCTCCGCGTTTTATTTTCTCATCCACAGGATTTCAAAAGTTGGTTATTGTTATGGTTGTTATACAATCCGATCGCTTTCGTCAAAATGGTGTTCCCGCTGCAGCGCGGGCCTCATTTTCGGATCGGCGCTTGCTCCCGTCGTTCAGAATGACACTCTCGCCCCAGCGCGGGCCACTTTTCTGGATCCGAGTCGTGCTTCATTGTAGTCCCCCCCTCATTCCCCCTCTTCCGCCTTCCCCTGGTCCTCCTGTGTTCGTCTCGCCCCAGCGCGAGTTACTTTTCTGAATCCGAGTCGTTTGTCATCGTTGTCGCCCCCCTCATTTCCCCTCCTCCGCCTTGCCCTGGTCCTTTTTTCCTCCCGATATTTCTACTTTAGTGTTTGCTGCTGCTGTTCGTTATCATCCTTCTCCTTCGCTCATCCTCCTGCTCACCCGCCACTTCTTCCTCCTCTTGTGCATGCAGCTCCTATTTTCCCGATTGCGTATAACACGAAGTGGTCTTTCAGTGGGAGTCGCAGGTCGGCTAAAACACGCGTCCACGGATGGAGAAAACTCAATTACATGGGAAGGGCTGGGAGTGAGGGACAGGATTTCAGATGAGGCGTGAGCGCACCGAGCTTGTCCACCCCCTCCTCCTCCTCCTCCTTCTCCTCCTCCTCCTCCTGCTCCTCCTCCTCTTCCTCCTCCTCCTCCTCCTCCTCCTCCTCCTCCTCCTCCTCCTCCCAGGGATGGCCCCCGTCCCCTGCGTGCGCTGACCGTTGATTGGCCGAGGGCGGGGAAAGATGCCCGTCAACACCAGCAACACGACCACTACCTTCTCAGTCGTTTGCCCCGAGCGGCGGTCGCCTTCTCAGGAGGCATTCCTTCAGCAATTGTTGGATGAAGTGGACCGGCGGGCCGCGGCGAAGCCCGGCGCGGGGTGGCGTGGCAGACGGCGGCGGGTTGGCTGAGGTGCTCGATGTCACAAACTTCGCAAGGTTAAAGAAAAGATTCGCAAGGTATTTCGTGCTTCAGAAGCTCGCGAGAGACTTGGATGGTGAGGCGTTCTCCGACTTTACGGCCGTCAGGAGTGGCGGGCTGGAGCACGCCGCCCCGTGGGACTTCGGCCTCGCCTGCAATGACGCGTGCAGCCCTTCATATAGATCAACAACATCTGCGCCAGCAAAATTTCTGCTAACAGCACAAGCGGCTGGAATGTGGAGAATGTGCGCGACAGTTTTTTGTGCTTCGGGGCGATGGGTCACCCTGGGGGGAATCGTGACGTTTACATGTGATCGCAGGCCGTTCCGCCACCGCGCCAGGGCAGTGTAGTGTGTGGCGACGTTTCGAGAGCTGCCCAGAAGGCCGTGACACGGGACAGCTCCCGTCCCCAGGTTTCAGAGGGACGTAACACGTGACAAGGTCTCCCATGGGCTCCAGAAGGCCGTAGCACGCGATAGTTTTCTTCAGGGTTTCCCAGAAGATTGTTGGACGCGTTCCTTGGGAGTCTCCTTGGGCATCTCGGAATCTTGTTGGCTGTCTAAGAGGGTATGGCGGTTGCCTGAGAGGTAGTCGTGGGTACAACTGTGGAGGAGCCCCATGGCGATGTGGCGAGCATCATGGGGCCTGGCGTGGATCCGCTTTGGGGCGGTCTAGGGCCGTCGTGGGAGCCAGTACACCGACTTGAGATTATTGGGGGCCGCTTGGGGATCCATCGGAGTTTCTGCAGGTGTCTTGCTATGATCAAGAGCGAACAGGCGTGCGAAGCAAGATACGTTGACTAACATGTTGCTTGTAAACGTGGTTTGCCCCTCGGAGGCCTGTTTGGCCTTCTTGAGCGCCTCTTGGGCGCCTCGTCAGGTCTCATTGAGCACTGCTGAACCCCCTGTGAGCCAGTGTCGGGCAGTGTTGGCGGCCTTGGTGGCATTCTTGGGCCGTCCTGTAAGCCGTCTTACGCATCTCGCAGGTTGGGGAGACCGTTGGGGAGGCGTCGGGACACCCACTGAGCCTCGGGAGTGGGGCAGGAGCGCGCACACCTGGACGCCCTCAGGAAGCTGCACTCCCAGCCAGACGGCCTGGGCAAAACATGCCACTCCACCGCGTGCCAGTGAGCATGCCGGCAGACTTCGGCACGAACAGGAGGCAGCTCTTCGTGAACACTTGGCGCCACCACAGCGTCTGCGAGGCCTTCGTGAGGGCATGGAGGCAGGCTCGCAGCGAGGCCTTCACAGACGAGGCTCTGTCAAGCGTTGTAGAGGCTCCAGCGGAGCAGATCGAGCCCGCCGCGCAACGTGACATACGCACGTGGGGGAGCTTTTCGAAGCTCTGTGCCTCTGTCGAGTGCAGCCGCCCAGAGGACGCGCAGGCCTTTCACTCCTCGACGCGCCACTTGAGGCAGTACTTCTTGTTGCGGGCGCAGTGGATAGACTCGCGCGTGGCCAGGCCGTTCTGAGGGCTCCGAGGTCTGTCCAACGGCAGCGGGTTGCGTGAATGTAGCATCGGATCGCCTTTCTAGGCGTTCCCCTAGGTATTCCATCCTTCATTGGTTTTCGATTTCTACTACCTACGCCAGGCCTTGCTCTTGCTCGTTCCAAGGACCTGCCAGTGGCACGAGCAACGTTGGAACCGCCGCTCGCCCAGTTGGCCAGCTTTCCACTGGCTGTTCTCGCTACAGGAGGCCCTTCTCTGGATACTCTCGCTGGCTTGCAAGGTCCATCTCCCTTGGAGACAGCTCTTGTCCGCAGCCTCGCCGCGGCAAGTGAGGTGCAGCGCATTGTAGAAAGGAGACGGGAGATTCGTGCAGGTCGACAACTGCTCCGGTGCCCGTCTACCACGCGTGCGCAACCGTCCAGCACCCCAGCCAGTGTAACACCGCTGGGCTTCGGGATTGGCATGCCTCGGACCTTGCACCAAGCGCCGATAGGCCATAAATCGCTCCTGCAGCGCGTGCTCGATGGTACACCTGCGCGGTCAGTGCGGGCTCCATCTTGTCCCTCTGGTCCAAAGAAGCTGGAATGGCTTGGGCATCTTGAGCAGAGCGCCGATAGGCCACGGACCGCTCCTACAGTGCTTGTTCGAAGGTTCCTGCTCCAGATGGCATAGTAATCGCCCCTTCCTTGGGCTCGGTCGAGGGGGGATGGGCGTGCCGTCGGGGGGGGGGGGATGGCAGCGTTGAGGGGCGGTAGGGGGGGGATGGGAACGCTCCGTCGGAAGGTTTATCTCCGCCCCCCCCGATGACTGTGCCATCCGCAGTACGCCCGCGCGGCACGGGCGGGCTTGGCCTTGTCCCTCCAGTCCTGAGCAGCTGACCCTCGGCATCCGCGACCGCAGGCCGCCGCCCTCCCAGGCTGCGCTCGCCCAGTCCCTCGACCAGCCAGGAGGAGCATCAAGGATCGAGGGCCTTCATCGAGCACGTTTTCGAAGGTGCTTGGTGTTTTTGGGCGCTTGTGGCTCCTGTCGAGCCTCCGCAGGCCTCCCAGATGCTTCCGGGAACTTCCGGAGGCCTCCAGGAACTTCCAGCCGTTCCCACGGAGGCACAAGCGACGACGAGAAGTGGGAGGAGGGACAGAGGCACATGCTCGTGTAGTAAGAGGAGTCGGTTCTACACAGTCGTTGCGGGCGCAGCTTCCGTTTCTTTTTGTTTCGCATTGCAGTCAAAATCTCCCCATGGGCTTGCCTTTTAGAGTTCTAGCTCCAGGCGTAGAAAGCTGGTCCACTGCCCCCCTTCTGTTTTTCCTTCGCATCGTCAAACTATCTGCATGGCCGCCTCTGTATCCGCATGGCTTCCTCTGCTACCCGCATGGCTTCCTCTATATCCGCATAGTTTCCCCTGCTGTTCCAATGGCTTCCTCTGCTACCCGCTGCTATTTCAATGGCTTCGTGTGGTTATTCCAATGGCGTCCCAACAAGCGTCCAACAATCGTCAGACTCAGAAGTAAAGCGAAGCAACGTAGAGTGGGTAGAGTTGAGAAGAGTAGATGATTAGAGTAGAATGCAGCAGAGTAGAGTAGGGTAGAGTAAAGTAGAGTGGAGACGAGAGGCATAGATGAGTAGAGTAGGGTAAAGCAATGTAGAGTAGCGTAAAATAGAGGAGAGTCAAGTAGAGTAGGAGTAGGTCAGACTAGGAGTAGAATAGAGGAGAGCAGATTTAGTAGAGCAGCAGGAGTAGGAGTAGAGCAAAGTAGAGTAGAGTAGAGTATAGAGGGTAGGGTAGAGTGGAGAGGAGTAGGGCAGAGTAGAGAAGAGTAGACCGTAGACCGTAGAGTCGGGGTACAATACAGTAGAGTAGAGGAGAGTAGTGCAGGGTAGGGTAGAGTAGAGCAGAGTAGACCAGCCTAGAGTAGAGCTGGGTAGAGTAGAGTAGAGTAGGGTAGATTGTAGGGTAGATTGTAGAGTAGAGTGGTGTAGAATAGAGTGAAGTAAACTATAATGAAGTAGAGCCCACTCCATTCCAGTCCACTTCAGTCTACTTCTTTCCAGTCTCCTGATCTATTTGGAGTCTGCGCTGGCTGATATGTCAACGCGGGTCAGCTATGTAGGTAAGCCTTCGCAGGGTGAGCCCCCAATGGTGTGCTGGACAGTACAGATCACTCCTCGGCCTTGTCGGCGACGTGCCACCAAGCCAGCACGGTATTGGAGGGCTGCTCCGTTCAGGCCTGCTACCCTGTAGTGCAGTCAACCCGCATAGGAAGGATGAGCAAGTTTCCAAAGTTACCCTTGCTTTCGCTGGCCGCGCCCCGCTCGCAAAGTGTCGACATGGCCCTCCAGGGCCCTTGCACCCTGACCACGCGTCCTTGTTATACGGGTTAGCTGCAGCTCGGGACTGCAGACGGAACCACTGCGAGGTGGGCGGGGAGGGGGGCGGCCGCCGAGAAGCCTTCAGGTCACGAACTACCTGGAGTTCTGCAAGGCTCGGCCGGCTCGCGGCCCGCCGTGCTTCCCCCGCTCGCTCGGCGCCTCCCTGCTGGCATCGGGCCCCAGAGCGGCAAGGCACTCGGAGGTCCACCCGGGCGACCCTCCAGGTCCGCCGGGGCGCTGGCACCCTTCCCTGCGCTTCCGCCCTCCCGCTCCCATTCCCTCCCTTCTTACTCCCTTCGGCCTCCTCCTCCTCCTCCTCATCATCATCATCATCATCATCCTCTTCCTCGGGCCCTCATCATCCTCCAGCCTCTTCCCTCATAGAAAACTCACCCATGTCGCACCACCAGACGTGTTGCTAGGGCGGGCCAGGCGTTTCGCCTGAGACTTCTTCACCATGAACGACCCTGAAGCTTGAACTTGCAACAGCTACACGGATGCAGGGAAAGGCTCTCGCCCTAGCGCCGCGCACATTCGTTTCGAAAGTTTGCACTAGCTTCAAAGATGTAGGGCGCTCCTTTTCAAAATGGGGCCGTCGCCTGAGCGCCGCGCTCATTCGTCTGAAAAGCTTGTAACGGCTGGTTGTCAAAATGAGGCTCTCGCATTAGTGCCGCGCACATTGATCGTTAAAATGTTGCAGCAGTCACCAGGATGGGGGATGGCTCCTCTTTAAACTCCGGCTCTCGCTTAAGGCTTCCTGGCACTGAACAACCAAAAAGTGGAAAATATGCAACAATTGCACGGGTGGAGGGCGGCTCCTTTTCAACAAGGGGCGCATCGCTTTAGAATGCCTCCAAACTGAACGACCCGAAATGAAAATCTGTGGCACCATAGTTACACCGACGGGGGCGGCGGTCGTGTTTCGAAATGAAGTTCTCGTTGGACGCGTCGTTGCATGCTATACTGTATGCTCGGGACCCCTTGCAGCCCACAACCAAGATGCAAGGCAGTTCCTCCTCAAAATGGGCTTCTCACCTACATGACACGACCGTAGGGTACGAGCCTTTTCCAGGGGGGCCTCTTTTACTGAAAGGAAAGCTTGTAGGTAGTTCTGAGGAGGGTGAATTGCAGCATCGTTGACGCAGTCTAGAGTTACTCCAGTCCTCCTCGACCACCTCTTCCTTCTCCTCATCCTCCATGCAACCCTTCCTCCCTCCTCACCCATTTCTTCACCTAGTTACCTCCTCCCGCGCATCGTCAGTTTTTTCATGCTGTTGGAGGTGAGAGTCGCCCAAGCGGGGGTGAACCACACGGGCGCCCACTGCCCTGCGCCAGGAACGATGGCGGGAAGGGGAGGGGAGGAGGATTTGAGGGGGGCAGGGAAGGTGGTGAAGAGAGGGGAGGAGACGAGGGCCGGAGGAGGGGAGAATTGGAGGGAATGGGGTTTTCCCTTTTTTTTCCCCTCATATTTCCTCGCCCGCTTGCCATTCCACTTCCTGTCGCTTGTAATGGCACATTCGAACATATAGGTGTCGATCCTCCTCCCGTCCCCCTTCCTCTCCCCCTGGCATCTTGACTAGATCCAGTGAGATCAGTTTGGCTTGTCTGGGCAGAGCCCACCCTGTAGTCCCCCCCGGTTCACTGGCAAAAGGAGGTGCCTTCCCCTCGTCGCCAGACCTTCGACGTCGTGATACTGTTCAACACGTGACCCCTGGATATCTCGATCCCTTCTGGGGGACCGCATTCCCATCCCAGATCTTCTTGTTGCTTGTCCTGGGGCCTACCACGGGCCTCCGCAGGACGGAGTCTAGGAAAAGTGTCTCCGAGAATAACCACAGCGTGTGAAGGCTTGCTCGCCGGAGGCTTCCCGCGGCTTCAGAGGCCGCTGGACTTCTAGAACCCTCGGGGGACCTCCGCATACGAGGTGTGCTAGAAATCGGCACGATCGAAATGGGCACAGAAAGAATGTGCACGAAGACCGACAGCATTTGGAACAGGACTCGCTGTCGATGTCGCCGCGGACATTCTCCATTTGAGACAAAAGGCCGCCTGCCTAACAGCGGCCGCTGTCGGTGTTTGGACAACCTTCGTTGTTGGGCACCGTACCCATTTTTCCGTACCCATTTCGGGCGTTCGGCGGAAAGAGTTTTGTTTTCGAGGATCGAGGGAGTTGGCATCTCTTCTTCGGCAGACGGCAGCCGAAGGTCGGCGGGAGGCCGCGGAAGCAAAAGAGGCCGCCTCCGCCAGCGGAAGGCGGTGGAAGGCCGGCGGAAGTAAAAATCGCCCCCCGAGATAGATGGCCAGGTCTTTTGGTTCAGGCTTTTTTGAACCCGCCATTTGGTGTCGGAGGGCCACGCTGCACCGCGTCTGCGTTGGGGATGCGGCGCGACCCAGGGCCCGATCTTCTCCATCCCGGCGTCACCGATGCGTCGGCGATTCGTCGGCGATGCGGCGCGACTCTCCGACCCCACCTGGTCATGCCCCAAGTGGGGTGCCTGCCCAGACATCCAGCGTCTCGAAAAAATCGAGACGAAGGCTTTTCATCGATTTCGGCCTCTCGGAGCCATTACCAGGCCTCGGGGCCACCAGTAAACGACTCGGAATGAAAAAACGAGTCAGTGGAAGTGGTCGAGAGGTCTGGTCGAGAGGTCGGGGGCCCGTGTCCCGAAAGAAACGAGGCGCCGGATGTCTGGACACCTGCTCGTGCCCCGCCTGGGGCGCGTCCACATGATCCACGCGTCGGGAGGCTCCACGGCCCCGCCTTCCCCGGACCTCGGGCGCCTCGCGAGCGAGGACGGGCGATCCTGTCCAGACTCCGGGGGCTCGAGGGGCCTGCTCTGGGCTGCGGGTGCCCACGAGGCGGCGGCGCGCGGCGCGAGGCATCCCTGCCGGAGGTGAGGTCGAGAGGCCCAGGGCCCCGCACACCCAGAGCCTCCTAGCGCTGGAGGCCCAGGCCCCCCCCCAGGGCAGCATCTCGGTCCTTTCGGGCCGGTGCCTCTCCTTTGGCAGCCGCTGGCTTCCATGGAGACGGATTCGGCAGCGGTCCCGACAGAACTCGTTGAGCTTTCTGAGCGGAGCCTCGCAGGCCGACAGGGCCTGCCCGGGGAGGCCCGAAGGCGCCCGACGTGCTCCAGGGGTGGTGGTGATAGATGTTCTCGGAAGGTCGGATATTCAGTTGGGAGTTTGATGTGGCCTCGCGGGGCATCGGTCAGGCTCCGCGACGCCTCAGAGTAAGTGGGTCTTCTTGGGAGCTGATTCCAACGTACTTGTTACACTTCTCTGCATTTTTGCAGAGTCCACTAGACGTCGTTGAAGGCCACTAGCAATTATTTCAAACCGCTAATAACACACTAGAGACCACTAGGGGCTGCTAAACCGGTGCCACGAATGACACCCACTCCAGCAGGGCCCAGCCCTCGGATCACACACGGGGGCGCGAAGGCAGTCACTCCGGGCGCCGCGCGGCCCAGGCCGCAGAGGTGCCCTTCTCCAGAGCGGCGACGCGAGGGCGCGAACACGACAGGGCGTCGCGCATCGTGGGGCGCGAGGCGCGGTGCTGGGTGGCCGCCCCCCTTCGCCTCTGGCTCGAAAGGAGGGGGCGGTGGCCAGAGCGGACGCCACTGCTGTCGCGGCCCCTGTGCCACCCTCCTCTCCCACGGAGGCCGATCCACAGTGGCGCCGAGAAAAGAGGCTGGAAGGACACCGGGTGACCCACGGAGTCCCCCCGGGAGACTCCGGCTCCCGAGCGCGCCCGCCCGCGGAAAGCCGCCCTCGGGCCGGCCGTGCCGAGCGGTGCCTGCCTGCCCGGCCGACGAGGGCGTCGTGAATTACGACCCCGCGCTGCCGTCCCCGAAGAGCACTGCCAAGCCCATGGACGCAATCGTGAAGGCCTGGCGCCAACCCAGCCATCTGGCGCCTCGACACGAATCGGCACGAAGGGTTTTCCTCGATTTCGGCCTGTCGGGGCCCTCACCAGGCCTCGGGACCGTCAAAACGAGGCTCAGGATGAGAAACCGGTCCCGGGAAAGTGGTCGCGAGGTTGGAGGTCCGACCGAGACGCTGGATGTCCAGGAAGGGGGGATGGCCGAGGATCGAACGAGGTCGCGCCGCAGACATTTCCTCGATCCCGGCCTCCCAGGGGGCCATTTTGCCGAGCGGGGCCGCCAAAAACTTGACTGGGGTGACATCCAGCCTGGACGGACCCCAGGCGGGGTCCAGGAATTTGTCTTGAGCAAACTTCGGTGTCAGTCGGAGGCGCCAGGATTCGGGGGGGCGGCCTTGGTCTCTCCGGCCCGGTCTCCAGCACCCAGGCGCGCCCGCTCGGGAGGAAGAGGGGAGCCTTGGTACGACCGCATCTCCTGCCTCTCTGTGGAGCGTTCCAGAGAGGGCCTCGCCCTCGAGGATCGACGGAGTTGTCATCTCTTCCTCGGCGGAAGGCCGCGGAAAGTCGGCGGAAGGCGGCGGAAGTAGGACGAGGGCGGCTGCGCCGGCGGAAGCCGGCGGGAGGCTGGAAGCCGGCGGAGGTAAAATTCGATTTCCCGAGAGACGGCCAGGTTTGGGGCTCAGGGTTTCCGGAGTCGGCCATGTGGAGACGGGGGGAGGCAGGAAAAGTCAGTGCCACCGAGACGGGTGCCCAGCAACGGGTATTTCGGCAGCGCGCCAGAAATTGGCAGTGAAGCGGCAGGAGAGCGCATTTTTGGAGCGGGATGCCGCAGGTGAGTGGCAGAATAGCGCCCAATCCCAGCATCCATCAAAGTCCCCAGCTGCTGAGTATTCATCAGGATGGCGTTGAGAAGAAGGGGGGAAGGAGCAAGTAGAAGGAGGAGGAGGACAAGGAGGAGGAGACAGGACGGTAGCGCCTACCACGACCCACCCCAGCGACCTTCGTGGGAATCGATCGGTATCGTTGTAATTCTCCACGCTTCGCGTATCCCCACCAGCCCATTCAGAAACGCTGCAGATGAGAGTTGATATTCTTGAGGCCCTCTTGGGGGTCCTCTTGGGTCTCTCTCAGGGCCCTCTTGGGGCCTCTTTGGGGGCTCGTTGGGGGGGGTCTTGGGGCCTCTTGAAACCTTCTGGAGTGCTTCTTGGTGTCTTCTTGGAGGCCAAGGGGGGCGTCCTTTATGTAGCGCCCCCCCGCCCTCAAGAGCCTTCAAACCGTCTCCTGGGGCGTTCTTGAAGCGCTTTTGGGGCCGTGTCGGGGACCTCTTGGGCCATCCTGGGGCCAGATTGAGGCCTCAGAGGCCCATCGGACGCGAGAAGGCGAGAAAGCAAAATTCACGGATGTTCTTCAAGTGTTTGAAGGATTTGGGAGAGTTGGGGGGGATCTTTGGGTGGCTCCGAGTGCACTTGGAACCGTCGTGCGGCCATCTTAGGGCCTCTTGGATGTATGTCAGAAGCTTTATTGAACAATATTCGGCTAACTTGAGCCATCTTGGAGGCCATCTTGGAGTATCGGAGGCCCTCTTGGAGCCATACTCCATATCCCTTCTTAAACGGCCCCACCCTACAAAACCGGCCTCCCCCTGACGCGGTGCCTTAAAGTTCCGGCCCCTGCCCCTCTACGGAGGGCCCTAATATTCCGCCACCCCCCCAGCAGCCAAATTCAAAGTGACATTGATGGTGACGGTGGGCATGAGCACGATGATGGCAACGATGACAAGAATGGCAACACACATGTTGATTGCGATATCGATGCAACCACACCCAAGTTCAACGGACATCATAATGGTGATCATGAAAGCGGCGAACAGGCGAACATTAGATGTGCGACGATGACGGTGGAAATTGACGCCCTTAGATGCAAGTGCGACCGTCCGTTATTATAGTGCCGATGGTGGTGACGATATCTTGGAAAGTGGTCTTTCTTCTCCGTCTTGCTCTCCTCGTTTTGTTTTCGTGCTGGTTTTGACATGGATTCGGCCGTCCATGAAATTTCATAATCTGGCTCCTCTCCCTCCTCCTCGTTCCCTCCCTCCCTCGATCCTACCAACAGCAACGCTGCCGTCGCGCATTGTCTTCGGAGCCGTAATTTGTGACATGTTCGTTGCGTGTTGCTGCTCTTGCATGGCATCTCGCTGCGCCCAGAGAGATCAAATCGCTAAGTCCCGATTTGCACGCTACGTGTTTCCACGTTACGTCCTCCCTCGTCCTTCGGTCGTTCCTCCGTTTCCTTCCGCGCGTTCCTCCTTGTCCACGGTGTTCTTTTATTTCTGGGTTGTTGTGCTGCGGCCGCCGACACGAGGGAGCAATTTTGGCAACGACGCTGCTGGCTCCGCCTTCCTCGTCTTCTTTCTCTCAACCTCCTCCTCATCTCCTCTCCCCCTCTGCGCGAATTCACGGCCAGAGTGTTGGCCACGTTCGCAGGAAAACCTTGCTACATAGCTGGGAGTGCGCGTGGTGTTCCCGCTGGGCGTCCGCTTCGTTCGTCTTCCCAAAAGCATTGAGAAATAGCGCTTGCGAGTAGCAACGGCATGGATGGCAACGGCGGCGACGACGATAATGTTGACGAAGATGTGTTCCTTCAATCGGCCCCCGCAGCCTTATCTGACAAGTTCTGCGCAAAGCACTGCCGTGCTATGACCTTTTCCCCACAGTTGTCCTTGAAGCCCGCCACCTTCACGGCCTCCTTCCTCGTGCAGAAAACCTTACCCTTGGCGTTCCTCCAGACATTGTACGTCTGGCCCGCTGTTGTGTCTCCAGGCCCCCGCGTGAACACGGTAACCGTCCACCCTCGTGGGGCGTGCTGCACTTCCTCGGGGAGTGGCATGCGGGGGCAGGGGCGGGCGGTAGGAGGGCGAATGGTGAAGGCACGTGCAGGGGGGTTATCCTTTCCCCGCCCATGCAAAACTAAGAAAACCAACGTTACGCTTACAAGTATGTTTGCCCGCTCGGACCTTACTCGCCGTTGGCGCGCTCGCCGTCGGCTGCTAACAAAATTTTTAAGTCGATCACCAACTCCAAAGCTTTACCACTCCCACGATGTGTCCGTCTTGCTTTTCTTTGCCTTCTTCTTCTTACTCAGTGCCTTGGTCTTCTTCTTCGGTGCTTTGATGTTCTTTTGCGGCGTTACTTTGGGAAGGTCCCCCGTCCTCATTTTTCACTGGGGGACTTTGCGCGTGTACACGCCCATGTCCATCGGTTTGGGCCTCCTTGGACTCGGAGAGGCCTCGTCCAAGTACTGGCCCAGCGCCCGTTTCAGTAAAGGGTCCCGCGCCGCAGTGAGGAGTTTCTGGGCCTCGTTGACATCTGCGTCCCTGGCCGCATGGAGGGCCGCAGCGCACGTCAACCCAACTGAATTAGACTGACCTTTGCACTGTGGGCGCTGTTCTTCTTTCGTGGGTGTCTACTGGGCTAAAGAGGACCCCTGACACCTCCGCCCGCGTCCCATCCAGACCCCATGGGAGGGGGTAGGAGGAGGGGCAAACCCCATCCCCGAAGGGGCAGAAGGGGGCAGTCGAAGCGGAAAGACATAACTCGTTAGACCACCTACGCCCAGAGGGCTGATGGGATTGTCGGACGAGGAGGCGGACAAGGTGGAGGAGCAGGGAGGGGGAGGGCACAGGGGGAGGGCACAGGGGTAGGCAGCAGCAGCGCAGCGCAGAGCATTGCAGCGCCGGGCGCACAGCGCAGCGGAGGGCGTGGCGGGCTACGGCGATGCCAGGTCGCATTCGGGCCATGTTGGGCCCGCCTGGGGCCACCTTGCGTTTAGGACTATCTGGGCGATCCTCTAGGAACCGCTTCCGACGGAAAAGCCGATGGATACCAGATTTGCCGCGGTCCCGCTGGGGGCGAGGGGGCGCGATTGACCGAAGGTCTGATTGGAAATCTGTGGACGATTCAAAAGTACATCTAGCTATTGCACATAACCTGGCACTCCGAGCACCCCTGGATAAAACACAGACGGCGGATCTAAGACGTCTGCCCATCCCGCAACCGTGCCTGTGTCGTGGGCCAGCGGGCTCTTGAACGCACATTTGGGGCCTTTGGGGAACTTCTTGGGGCCTCCTGGTGGCGTCGAAGGCCTGCTGGCTGTCTCGGTGGTCCTCTCAGGGTGGGGGAAGGGGCCGAGGACCAGGTCGAGTTCCCTCGCCTGGACCGCCCTTGGAGGCCTCTTGGGAGCCTCGGGGGCTCACTTGGGGCTGTCTTGGAGGCCGTTCGGTGACTTCTGGATTCATTTTCGAGCCGAAGGGCACGCATGGAAAAATCGCACAAAACCCGACAGGCATTCAATGATTAGGATTGTCCACTGTCCATTGGCACATGGGAACGCATGAATTCCCGATCACGTGTTCAGGGCCCCTTGAAAAATCATGCGGGGAGCCTTGGGGGCCCCCAGGAGCGCCCAATAATACTGGGAATCCGGGGCTTGGGGCGTTCAAAAAGTATTGGCAACGTGAAAAGCAAAGATCTCGAAGGGACCTGAGGGTACTCCTCTTCGTGCCTCGCGCCACGGTGGACATGACATGCTGGAGAATTGCATGTCTTTGTGTTCTTCTCGGCGCCTGGTCTCCAGCAGCGTAAGTGCTCTCGCGCAGGTGAGCGAGGCTTGCCGCTGCAGGCAGCTGATTTGGGATTCGGAGTATACGGCCCCAGGAACAGTCACATTGAGTTACGATGGTTGTTCATGAGTACACTCACGACGGGACTAAGAAGGCATGGTTTTGCCTTGGCACCCCCTTTAAATCGACATGCCTCACCAAACAATGGTAGCGTAGGACCTGGGTTGGCATGGTAGCATGTGCCGCCGCCTTGGGAAAATGGGCAGCACGTGGAGGAATAGTAGGCCAGAAACCTGGGGCGCACGGAACGAACAAAACACGTGTTCTGGGGAGGTTTTGGGGTCGTGGGAGGCAGGAAATGAAGGCACACGGAAAGGACAAGGGGGGAGCACAAAGGGGTGATTCACGGCAGGAAAAGAAGATCAACGGAGCAGAGTTTGGGTTTCGGGAATACATGAAGGAGGGGCAAGCGTGCCGAAAAAGCAGTTGCGCCACAGGTTCGCAGCGTTGCATCTCCAAGCCCAGCAACGTTGGGTAGAAATCGTGCCTACTACACGGTCGGTGGCGGGCCGAAGCATGAGTGTTCCGTTCAGCGTTGTGAGTTGGCCGCGTGGCCTAAACGATGTGTTGCCCAATGTTTTCGCCATGACAGCCAGCACAACGCTGGTATTCAGGATTTTCGGCAGTTCCCTTGCACATCGCCACGGCTGTCATTAGAAGATTCTGATTGTCGCATGACAGACTACGTGTGACTCGAGCATACGCTGGCAAGCGAGAATGCACGTGCCAGGAGCTACTTTGCTGGATGCCAGTGCATGATACTGACACCAAGGAGCACGGTTCGCAAATCTGCTGAAGGGCAGGAAGCGAGGGAACGCATCCCCCCTGAATTGAGGCCCAGGACGACGCGGCGTCGACGATGTACTTCTACCACCTCAGCGGAGGGGGGATCGAGATCAAGAGGGAGCGATGCTGATTGGGCACGATTGTATGTTTCTGGCGTCGTTGGCGAAAATTCGTGGATCATTCTCTGGCAACCGAGGCCCAGCGCAGGAGGTGGCATTGAGGCACTGTGCAGACATAGCTCAGCCGATGGACTAGTGAATCGAGCAAGCTTTACCAAGTTCAGCTCGGGACTGTCTAAGTGCATCGCATTGGAATGAAGACGTAAGAGAGCTCGAATGTCTTTGGATGGAGGGAAGGAGGCAGGGAGGTGCTGTTCAAGAGGATGGAATGGTGGAGGACCCAGTTGGGGGTCCAGGAGGGCATTCATCGTTGACCCCAAGACTCACTTGTATCCTTCCGCCCTGATCTCGACCCCTGACTGCGGAGAACAAACATTGGCATAACGTAAAACCTCGGAGGTCCGCGCGGATTCCTCTGATCGGCGCTGGGGCCCCCTGGCGGCGCCTCTGGCGCCGCCCTGGCGCCGCCCTGGCACCGCCCTGGCGCCGCCCTAGCGCCACCCTGGCGCTGCCCCAGCGCCGCCCTGGCGCCGACCTGGCGCCGCCTTGGCGCGCTCCGCGCGCCAGGAATGGGGGTCCAGCGCCGATCCGAGAAACACGCACGGACCTCCGAGTTTTTTTATTGTCTTTCTTTGCTCCCTCATGACTTGAGGTGGAGGGGACACCGCCTCGGCAACGCACAGGGGACGCCGTCTCGTCGGCACCCGAACGTGTCACTCGTGGAGCCGCCCTTCTCTGGGTGCACCCTGCCTCGGCGGTGCTCCTGCGGCATCCGTCCGCGTCCGGGTGCCCTCCCCTCGAGATGTGTCCGCTCGGGCTCCCGTGGAGGCCCGCTTTGCGGGGGCCGGCCTGCGCAGGCATGGGTTACGAGGCGTGGGACCATCCCGTCCCGTCGCAGAGCGACGACAAGTGCGCCCGGACCTCGGCGCGCCCCAATGCCCGCGGGGGGATCTAGCGGTGGGCTGCGCCTCTGGGTAGAGAGGACCAGGCCAGCCTGCTCTTCGCTTCCCTTCGGTTTCAGCGGGGTGGTCCCCTCACCACCACGGCCGCGCTCGCTCCGAGCACTCCCGCCCCACACATTTCTACTGGCCCACCCGAAGTGGACTGAAGCATGTCTGTCAGTTCTGCCGGTTGCGCGGCTTTGCAGGGCGGCTATTCATCCCATGTGCCAGATAGTGCACAAGAGAGTCGAAGCAGTTGCTCGTGCGCCTCGTTTGGCCTCTTCTCTTTGACCTCATTTTCCTGCTCCGTCTCATCATCCACCTCACCTGGACTGGGCGCCTCCAGTTCTAAGCGCTTCGGAGAAAACCTGGCACGATGGGCTGGTCGGGATAGCGTCATGTAGGGGTTCAGGGGCCGACATCGAACGATCTTCAGTTAGAGGCGAACAAAATTAATTCTGGTGTGTATGAAAACTCTTAGGTTCACAAGTCGTTACTGGGCCGAGACCCAGGGACCCCGCAGGGAGAATGAGAGGGAAGGTATGTCTTATATGTACATTATCACACCTTCACTTCAATCGGACAATTGGGCTTCAGCTGGGAAGGTGGTTTTTCGAGGGAGCAGAATATGACACGCCGTGTCTTCCCCCCCCCTGAGTATACGTTCACGGGCAAGCTTTGGGAGGGGTTTTGGTCTGCTTGTGGTGTCTGATAGGTTCGTGAGAAGTCCGCCTGGTAAAGCCCTGGTGGTTATGATGCATCTAGCTTCGGCAGCTAGATTAGGGTCACTCTGGGAGACCCAGTTCGTGTGAAATGGAAGCGCGTGCTAGGCGAAGAAGGCTAACTCGCTGGCGGTAATCGAAGGAAGAGGAGTTGCTCACTGTTAGCCTGCCAAGGTCCAGAGCATCTGGCGCATGGTGTGCTTCACGTACTTCCCGAAAGCACAGGCGCGTTGCCTTCAGTCCGCCGTTCCTTCATTCATGTATTGTGTATAAGTGTGCGCATGCATCTGTGTGTGTTCGCTTGCATGCAGTCTTGAACCAGCCAATTCAACACAGCAAGTTGGTTGGCTTCATCAGGTTTGTCTTGCGAGCACGCTGAGCGCGCTGCACCGCTCCGGACGCCGCGCGAGCGCAGACGTGTTCGCTTGGTCGTGCAAAGAGTGTGTTTGCGCGTGGTGTGGTGTATAGGCGTGCATGGGGGAACTTGTGCGTGTGAGCGTTCGTGCGTGCGGGCCTGGGTGCGTGTGTTCGCGCAGATGTCCATCTCTCATCCCTATCCCCCTTCCTTCCCCCAGCCTGTCCCTCCCTCCCTCCCTCCCTCCCTGTCCCTTCCCGTCCACCTCCCCCATCCCCCACCTGCCCCTGCCCCCCAATCCCCATTATCCTCTTATCTTCCTTTCCCGTCCCTTCTCTCTCTGAGCACCCCCCATATTGAGACACGCCCGGCAGCGGGGGAGGCTGGCTGCACCAGCGGACTCGCATCGCCCTACCAGCGTCCTTGCGCTGGACCTTGCCACAATTACGTGCAGGCATGGCCGTCCTCTTGAGTGGGAGTAGCAGCAGACCCGGGGGGAGGGTGCGCGCAAGAGTTGTGCGCGATTGTTCCACTGGTCGCCCTCGCGTGACGCCGTTGGTGGTTGTTGATGTTTCCACGTGCGTCGTTGTTTTATGGAGTGGCTTTGCTCATTGCAACGCATGTCCGCGCACACATGTGTGGTTCCGTATGCTTATGCGTGCTATTGTATGTGCGTGGGCGTTGCCCGAAACATCGGTCGGTTTAGACCACATTGGAGTTGTTGTGGTCGGCGTTCCAGTGGAACCCGCCGATTCCGGCCAGGGCTGGCCCAGAGGGCCCTAAATTCTTGCGTTCCCCATTTTTCGTCCCTACGAACGCCACGGACGTCAAGAATTCATTCGCGTGCGCACATCTGTACACGGAGGGCGCGTTGGTTGAGGAAGGTGCCCAGAAGGTTCCAGACCTTGGATGATTCTGCATCTGCTGAGAGTGGCGGTGATATCCATGGCCAGCCCACGATCGCAGTCCCACCGGCTCCCAGACCCTGAGCTCTTTACCTAATGGCTCCTTGTCCAATGCCCTCACCGTAGTCACCCAGTAGACCAGCTTGAGCCGATAATCGGCGTCGCGCTCGGGGGGAAAGTGAGAAGGAACAGGCCTTCTCAGAAGGTGGCGGGGCTTCTCACAAGCCGTCGCGCCTTCTGAGAAGTCCTCTGTGTCTTCGGGGAGGGCTCAGAAAACTTCTCGGTAGGCCAGAGGCCCTCCGAGCCTTCTGAGAAGGCCCGCCCCGTCTCATTTCCCCCCGGGCGGGCCGCCTAGGCAAGGAGATTGGAGTTGTCGCCGGCTTCATTCACATCTGACTCGCACGTCTTCAGACGTTCGCCTCGGTCACCGTCGGCGCCCACGACGTCGGGCGGGTGGCGGCGCACGTCGCCCCAGAGATCGCTCGAGCGAGCCGCAGGCGCTCGAAGTCGTCTCGGGAGCCAGACCAGCAGGGCGTTGGGCACGGCGCGCAGGGAGATGAACAGAACAGAAGCAGATGAGGGAGCAAGGGGAGTTGCTGGCTCTCCGCAGGGAGGGCGGAGAGGGAGGGGAGAGAGGGGAGGGAGGGAGCACGAAGGGGGAGTTATGACGGAGAGGGGGTGCGCAGGGAGAAGGAAGGAGCAAGCAGAAAGAAGGAATGAAAGGCGGGGCGGGGGCAGAGGGACGGAGGAGGGAGGGAGGGGGGAAAAAACGTGGTGGACGGGCAGGGACAAAGAGGGACGAGGCAGGAGGTGGTGTTGCTACTTGCTGCCCCCCCCCCTCGCAGTGCCCCTGAGAGACGTTCCGACCGCAAGACGCTGGGCCCCAGAGTATTCTTGAATCCCTGTGAAGCAGCCTCTTGTGGCCAGCGCTTGGTACCACAGATGGCCCCCGGCCCACCAGGAAGGCCCGATTCCTGCTACTCCAGCCCCAGCTTTTCGTTGCTGTCGGTCTTTGGGGGCCTTTACCAGGCCTCGGGACGTTCAAGAAACGACTCGGAACGAAAAATTTGTCCTTGGGAATGGGTCGAGAGCCTTGGGGGGCGACGTTGAGAACGAGCGCTGGAATGACGCGGGGCGGTCGTCTTTCCCGGCATTGCGGTGTGCTGCCGCTGCGTTTCCGCTTCCCTCCGCGCGGAGGCACGAAGCCGCGGCCGGCAGGGCCGGCCCCTCCCTCCCTCTCGAGCTCCACCCGGGCCAGGCGTGCGGCGTCGAGTGTTGCGACGAGAGCCTGCAGTGGGAAGGGCAGGCAAGACTTGTGGTTTGGGGTTGGAAAGCCCAGTGACCTGCAGGAAGACCAGAACTGTGCGCAACAGGGGGCAGGACGTTCGGGGAGCGGGGCGGGTCATATGTACGATGTTTGTCGGGTGATCCCGTTTATGTGTCTCGCTCAGTTGTTGTTGTACGGCCATGTGGCCCGTGTGCGATCGATTAGCTTGCAAGGCCGAAACACCGATGCGTGTGGCCTGATTGCATGAGCTCTGCTGAATTACCGCCTTCTGTTCAGCCGCTATGTACGGTCGAACGCACACTAGCGTTGGGGTACATTCCGTTCGCTCAGCTACTAATTACATCTACGTTGCGTGGGCACGTGCGTTTTGCTGCCCACAGGGTTGGATGGCCAACCTCTGAAAGGTGGTAACCACAAGGTGCGTTGACCGGCTGCCGCCTAGGATCGAGTATAACACATGCGAATTGGGCTAGCACCTTGGACCTATCGTCGAGAGGCTCTTCTGTCGAAGACACTAGGTAAGAAAATCTCGACGTTTCGCGAAGCCCCACTGGCATGCAGAGCATTTTGTTCAGTGCATGTGCAACCTTGCCAATTCGCTCTGTGCCGCCCGCCCCGGACATTGCCTCTCGCCGCCAGACTGTTGTCGCGCGGCCGCAGACCAAGAAGAGAATCCCCACTGGCCCGCCTCCTGTTTGTTCCTCCCTCGCTGTCCCCCCTCCGGCGGTAGGCACTGTGAGCGGGCCGGCCGCTGCGCTTTTAGGCTTGCGCGCTGCTAATTTGACAGGCTCGTGGCCCGGACCTCTCAGCTCGGCGACTGCGAATCCGCGTCCGCCCGCGACCAAAAAAAAGAATCCCCACCGGCCCGCCTCCTCCTCCTCCTCCTCCTCCTCCTCCTCCTCCTCCTCCTCCTCCTCCCTCCCTCCCTCCCTCCCTCCCTCCCTCCCTCCCTCCCTTCCTCCCTCCCTCCCTCCCCCCTTCGGCTCCTTTCCTTGCCCTTGGCGCAAATAGCTCGTAGCTTGCGTGCTGCGACCCTGACGGCGCCCGGCGTCCTCCGGCGTGCGCTCGCGATCCAAAAAGAGTCCCCACGGGCCCATCCAAAACCGACGACCAGGCGAATTGAGACGAGCATGGAAGCGTAGGAGCAAAATGGGGGACTGCCGTTATCGTTCGAGGGAGGAGGAGGAGGAGGAGGAGGAGGAGGAGGAGGAGGAGGAGGAGGAATGATGGAGGAGGGAGAAGGATGATCAATTTGCGGATGAGGAGGGGCAGCAGGAAGAGGAGGAGGAGGAGGAGGAGGAGGAGGCAAAAGGACGAACAGAAGAGCCAGAAGCCTCTTGAATGCCTCTCGGAGTCTCTTCGGATGTCGCTTGAAACCTTTTTGGAGGGCCCTTGGGGCGTCTGGGGGGGCATCTTGGCGTGTCAAGGGCCGTCTTTAAGTGTCTTGGGTGCCGCAGGGATCCTCTTGAGGCCTTGGGAGCATCTTGGAAGCCCCTTGGGCGCCTCTTGGGGGCGTCTGGGCGCCTCTTGGGGCCCTCTTTAGGCGATCTTGGGAGCTTTAGAAGTGCTCTTAGAGCCATCTTGGAAGACATCGATCAAAAAAGAGGGGAGCTTCAATTAGGGAGCCCAACAAATCGCCTCTTGGGGCGCTCTTGGAGCGTTCGTGGGCGTTGTGCGGGCCGTCCTGGAGGCTTCTTGGGCCCCTCTTGGAGCCCTCTTGGGCCATCCTGGAGCCATCATGAAGGCCATCGGAAGCGAAACGCCGAGAAAGGAACAACAAAACAAATGTTCTTTCAATGTTGGAAGGATGCTGGCCTCTTGGCGGCCTCCTGGGGAGGCTCCGTGGCCACGTGGGGCCGCCTTGGAGCGTTCTTGGGGCCTCTTGGAGCATCGTGGGAGCCATCTTGGGGCACATTGGCCTATAGCAAGCCATCGTGGAGGTCATCTTGAGCTCTCTAAGGCGCTCTTGGAGCTACCTTGGGCCATATTGGACGCTCCGACCCCTCGCGAACCCATCCGTCCAAGTCCAGGGGAAGGGGTAAGGGGGTGGGGTGAACCCTTCCCCGAAGGGGAAAAAGAGGGTTGGAAGAGGAGCCTCCCTAGACCACATACGCCCAGAGGGTTGGTGGGATTACCGTGGCGAAGAACCCAACCATATGCAGGTGTGGCTGCAGCAGGGCAGGTGTGGAAAGAAGGGGGAGCCCCCTTATGGGGCCACGAAACGAACGAAGGGTGACCGAAACCGGCGGGACGCCGCCTGGCGGGCGCTGCCATTTGGGTCTTCGGTGGAGCTCCTTACGGGGCTACGAAACGTGTGAGGGGTGTGCCAAGATGGGACGGCGGCGCCATGCGGGTGTTGCCGCGTGGGCCTTAGGTTAAGCTCCATATGGGGCCACGAAGCGTGTGAGGGGTGTGCTAGAATGGGGCGGCGGCGCCATGCGGGCGCTGCAATTCGGGCCTTCGGTGGAGTTTTCTATGGTGTCACGAAACGTGAAATGAGGGACCGACGCCGTGCGGACCATGGCATTTGGGCCTTTGTTGGAGCTCCTTGTGGGGCCAAGAAGCGTGGGAGGGGTGTGCAGACATGAGGCGGCGGCGCCATGCGAGCGCTGCCATTTGGGTCTTAGCTTGAGCTCCCCATGCAGCCACGAAACGTGTGAGGGGTGTGCCGAGATGGGACACCGACGCCATGCGCACCATGGAATTTGGGCCTTAGCTGAAGCTCCCCATGTGGCCACGAAACGTGTGAGAGGCATGCCGAAGTGGACATGCAGAGGGCAGTGCCAGGGATGGGAGGAGGAGAATTCTGGAAGAAGGAAAGAGGAAGGAGACGCGGGGCACTGTCTCTTCAAAAAGAGGACCCAACACCACATAATGGTTAGGACAAATGTTGATGTGGCGCCGTCCATTCAATAGCTTATGGAACACAAAACTCCGGTGTTAGTTTTCAACCCCTAATGCCGTGTTGCATTTCCTTTATATGTCGAAGTATGACCGTTCATTTTGAAGCTGCAGCTCCTTCCAATCTGCGCGGTAGTCTAGCGTATGTTTGACTTGGTTGTCTTCAGCGATTGGAAGTTATCCTTCGGTGCGCTCCCGATTCCACATTCACTCTCGAGGACACGACATTAATCGTGGGGTCGCCAGGTGTACTCAGACCCGGACCAGGGACGACCGTGGCGTTCGCGTTCGTTGCCGACGTCGTTGTTGTCGCAATTACCTCAATCCGTGGTCGTCCATGTCGAGGGCGGGGGGCAGGTGCGCATTCAAGCACGAGGTGAAGAGTACTAGCGAGAAGGGCGTGTCCATGCTACAGACGGGCTACGTCGACGAACTGGGCGCGACGCCCCCTTTCGCGCGCGTGCGCCCCTGTTGAGCACACGATTCGCAAGGAACAGGCCGCTCTGGGAAGGAAGGGCCAAGCGCTTGAAGGGCATGATGGTCTGGTCAATACCCTCCTCCTCCACTTAAACCCCCCGCCGATTGCCTCTGGGCTTCGCCATCGTCCAACGGATGCCAGTAGCTCCAGTTGGTCAGGCCACCAGGATTGAGCTGCACAGCCCATCTCCGAACCAAAAGACCGCCCACCCGGCAGCGGAGTTTCAGGACTTCTTGAATCCAGGACGCCCTTACGGATTGGGCAATGATTCCCGAGTTTCTTGTGGTGTTGAGCTTCCGTTTTCGCAACATCGTTGCGCTGCCAGCGTGTCCGTTGAACCACCTTGCTCCTCACCCTCTCCTGCCACCCCTCTTGTCTCTTGTCACCTCACCTCGAAGGACGCACACATCACAGTTTCGGACTCCACGTGAAGCCACTCTAACTGTGGCCCCAATAGGGGCGCACCATAATATTGCACCTGGACCCAGAGGGTTCTACCCCTCGTGCTTTTCGCCCCCGAGTGAGCCTCATACTGAGGCTCCCACGCGGCGCGCCCACACACCGTGCCTGGCCCCAATATGTTTGCCCCTCGCGCGCGCCTGGCCCCCCCACAGGAAGCACAAGCTTACTCCCCAGCGGAGTGTTTCCGCGCACATAGGAGTTGGACCCACGTAGGCCCCCTTAATCCCACTCAGCCATCAAAAGGCTCCAGTGGGCGCGCCCGCACAGAGGACTTGGATTCAGAACGACCCCATCCTCACCCAACGATTCGCCCCCACACCAGGAGAGCTTTAGCTTGCGGGCCTACGGCTCGCGCAGGCGCGCAGCGTCTTGACCCGCGGTGGCCCGCTCCTTACCATTCTCCCCCATAAGGATCCCATTAGTGAGCCCAGCAGGGAACAGCCTGCACACGGAACTTGTACCAAGGAAGTCCCATGCTTCACGCACGTCGCCCCCCGCCCGCAGAAAAGTCCCAACTAAGGCCCCTGGTGGACGCGCCCGCACACTGTTCCTTGACCCAAGTGGGCCCACCCCTCACGCACTTACTTCGATCACAGGACGCCTCAACCATGGGCCCAGTGTGTATCGCCTCCGCGCCGACTGCGGTTTTATGTGGTCGGTGCCAGCCAGAGATTTCGGCCATAACGGTGTTGTCGCTTCGGCCCTTTGCAGCGGACAATCACGCTCTCGTTTGACCGCTGGTCGTCCTTCCAAGATGTGACTTTCGCGATGGCGCAGGTCGGACGGGCGCTTGAACACAGAAATGGAGTAGAAACAGCGCCCGCAGTTTGCTATGGATTGCTGCCCCGTCTCCGACGCGGTGGACAGCGCCTCGCTCGACGGGCTTCTGGCGGGTTCCACCTTGGCCGGCAAGGCACACCCCTCTCTGGTGCAAGCCCTGGGCGCGGCCGCGTGGCTCAAGGCGCCGCCCTACGAGGCCACCGGCACCGCCTTCCCGCACGGCCTCACGCAGGTCGGCCTGCAGAGGCGGCTGCGAGTCCAGCTCCTGCAGGAGGAGTGCTTCTGCCCAGCCTATGGCGAGGTGATGGACGTCTTCTGCGACCACGCCTTGGTCTGCGCCTGCCGCGGCGACCGGACCAAACGCCACAACGCCCTGCGCAACCAGGCATTTTTCGACGCCCTGGCCGCCGGCCACGCCGGGGCGGAGTTGGAGCGCCCGGGGCTGCTACCCCCGCGCCCCGCCGGGGAGGCCACCCCTGGGGGCGAGCAGGGCGGGGCCCAGGTGGACGACAACGGCCACCGCCCTGCCGACGTTTACCTGCCGCGGTAGCGCAACGGCACGGCGGCCGCCTGGGACTTTGCCGCCACGTCAGGGTTGCGCGCCGATCTCCTCGCCGCGTCGGCCGCTTCGTCAAGCGCAGCGACGGAGCGGCACGAGGAGTTCAAATGGCAGCACCAGGACACCGCGCGGCTCTGCGCGGCACAGGGCTTCACCTTCCTCCCCATGGTGGTGGAAGCCCACGGCGGCGGTACCCCGCGAGGCACGCAGGGCCTTCGGGGTCCTGGCCAAGCGGGTGGCTGACGCCACCGGGGAAGACGCCGCACTGGTTGCGGACCAACACGCCCAGCGACTTTCCGTTTCCCTGCACAGGGAGAGAACGCGCGGGCGGTGTTGCGGCGCCTCCAGACCCAGTTTGGAGGGGCGGGGGTGGCAGCAGCCCGCCTGGCCGCGGCCACGGCGGCTTCCACGGCAGACGCCGTGTGAGATGCCCCCGGCGCCGTCCTTCCTCGGCGGGGCGGTGGATGGATCCCGCAGAGGGCAATCCCCACCAAGCCGCATCGCGCTGGGCTCGGGCGGCCACCCCGCCCAGGTCGCCGCCGTAGGGTCTGTGGCCTCGTCGCGGGTGGCTCTTCTCTCCCGGCCACTGACCCGGCCTGTCTGCTTGCGGCCGCTGGTTTCCATCCAATTTGTCCTCCTCCTCCCCCTCCTCCCCTTCCCTTCGCTTCTGCCCGGCAGCGCCGATCCAAGAGCTCCAGGGAACTCATCACTGCCCCCGGATGCCGGCCACACTCTTAGTTTAAAAGGTCAGGCGTCTTGCCAAGGTTCAACTTGACTTTTTACGTGGCCTAATTTGAGAGACCCCAGCGCCGCCCGCCTTAAAAGAGTATTCGGGGTACATATATCTGGATCGGATCGGCGCTCTGAACTCGGCGCGACCATCATACTCAGAAGTGAATGATTATCTCACATCGGCGCTAGCCATACTCTCAAGTGAGGATGCTGCTGTTGCTTGGGCGCACAGCGCACTATTTGAACGCAAGGCCCACCTGCACTTGCGAAACAACCCCGCGAGGGGAAAAAAAAGTGCTCTCGCTTCAGTGCCGGCCGCATTCTTGGGTTGTAATAAGGTGGAAATTGGCAACACAAAAATCCAAACGTTATCAACGTTCGGTGTTCCCGCTTCAGTTTCGACCATATTTTTGGGAATGCGATCGGGTGCAGGCCGCACTTTCTGCAAGAATGCAATTACCCCATGGCGTCGGCAACAAGAATTTGCGAGATCGATTCAGCAGACGCCCCAGCCCCTGTCCGAAGTCGGCCCTTGGCGGGGCCACTGCCGCACCAGGGGCGAGTCAACAATGGACGGGGGAGGGGGCGGTGCCGTTGCGAGAAGGCGACCCCATGACCATGCAGTCCCATGGAGACTCCGATGCGACCCCGACATGTTATCTGAACCCCATGGCCACTTGGTTAAGTGTTTCTTTAGGGAGTGGTACGCCATTCACTCCTTCGCTTGAGTGCAGGGTCGCGCGCATGGAGAAGTCTGTGTGCGTCGTCTCCCTGTGTCGATATTCCCGCCCTGATGTCAATGTGGATTCGGGACGCATGGAGTGATTTTCAAGTGATATTGTCGTCGTATAGCCACTCCCAACCGCGTACGTCGTCGACGCTACGAGAAAACACTAGCTACTTCCTGTGATCCGTGATCGGGTCTGTGACTTGCGTAGGGGAACAAGCGGTCCGTGCGGTCTGGTCAAGAGGAATACCGTTATAAGAATCGAACGGTTCTCACAGATCATAGGGGTTCTTCTGTTTTGCCGCGGATCACGGGCCAGATCACGCGGATTACGCACAGTTGTCACGTCGTGACCGTCATCAGATCATCTCCCTCATCACCGTCACAGATACGCACCAGCATTCTCAACATTTGCATCATCTTCGCCTTCACTACCGTCAACTCTCCTGAAGAAAGACATGACAGATCGATTCAGACCCGCCGCCCCCGTCCAGGGTTGGCCCCTGGCGGGGCCACTGCCGCACCAGGGGCTTCGACTCAGCACTGGACAGGGGAGGTGGCGGCGCCGTTGCGACAAGATGGTCCCATGACCACGCAGCCCCACGAAGACTCCGATGCGACCCCGACATGTTATCTGAATTCCATGGCCACTTTCGCCAAGTGTTTCTTCAGGAGTGTGGCAGCGTTCAGGCTGGCTTGGAGCTTGATCAACCGGACGTCTTCAAACTATACGAGCCCATTGCACCCGGTTTGGTCTCAGCGCCAGCCGTTTCCTTACGTGTGAAGAGTGGTATCGGCTCGGCGTTGGCCACATTCTGAGGTGAGATTGGTCCCCATGTTTCTGAGATGGTCACACTCATGGATTGCAAGGTGCGTCTGCACGTCAGGATTCGAAGATAAATCTTTACGTCGACGTGCGGGGTTCTCACCTTGGCACCTGCCACCTAAATAGATTACAGTGATTTTGTCGATCCGCCGTCGACCACGAATTGAGGTCGCAAGGTGCAACAAGTTTCTTGGGCGGCACTGTCCTGACTCAGTCAGTCCAAAGCCTCGCTGCCCAAAGCGAGTGGTCAGGTGCGCACGGCGTGCAAGCAGGAAGCGTTGGGCTCCACGGGCGACCGCTTCGTCAATGCAGTGATACTGATCTACGTTAGTCGGGTACGTTACGTTCCTCCTCCTCCTCCTCCTGCTGCCACGTCTGGCTCGGCGACCAGCGGCGCCCCTGCGCGACCTGGGCGTCACACACCTCGACAACCATCACTGCTGCGCAGCCAGCAGCCCCTCCCCCCCCCCCCCCGCGACCATCGCGGAGCCACGCGCGCTCCTCGCCGTGCTGATCTCCTTCCCGCCCGCCGGGTCGACGCAAGACCTGCTGCGTCCGCGAGAGCCGCCCTGCAGCGCGGCGGGGGAGGTCAGGCGGATCTGCGGCCGCGGCTGCTGCACGGGTTCCTCGCGCTGTCGCCTGGCCAGAACTCGTCGGGGCTGAGTTGTCTCTGACGCCGAAGAGTGACTCGTCAGGCTGCCCAGCTCAAGGCCGCAGACCCCGGGCTGCCACACCCCGCCCAAAAATTGTCCAGGGATCCTTTCATGATCCGCGCAGCCAGGTTCGTTCGAATCGATAGAAAGGGCACAGAAGATACAGAGGAGCAGGTCGCATGTTGGTTGCTTAGTGGTGTTACGTGTTATGGGTAGTGCCGTTGGAGACAGGAAGTTTGCTGCAGTGGCACATGCACATCCCAAAGCTATGAGCAGTAGCGTGGCATGCTGACCTCCGAGCACAGGATTCCTTTCGAAGTGAACCCCATCCCCCAGACATGTCCGACAAATCCCTTTGAGACATCCGCACATCCCATAATATGACCTCCACCGCTATGTCCCCAACGACATTCCAATGACATCCAAGCCCCTCCACTGTCGCACCCAAAGACATCCTCTCTCATTGCTACAGGCATGCTGCCCGCTGGAGCAGGCTCGTGGCCCAGGCGTGTCGGGACCAGGTAGGACTAGCGAGAACAGGCGCGCTCTGCGGTAGCGCTGGGGAGAGCGGCTTCTTAACGACAAACATATCAACGCAGTAGCAGATGCGTGTCGAGGTTGTGAATAAAAGGCCACACTGCCTCGCGGCACGGGCTTCCACTCCAACAGATTCCAGTGCTTGACCAAACTTCAGAGCAGTTAAGCCGAGCACTGGCTGACTCGTCGCGTAGATACACGCGCTGCACGTGCAGTTCCATAACGGGCAGAGCAGACGAGTTGGTGTACGATAGGTTCGCGTCGTGTTGACCAGCGGCGACTTTGCCGATGGAGTTCAAATTTGAACGCCGCCGACGACCCAGAATCGGTCGATGTTGAACGATTTGACGTTTCGGAAACGGCCGATCGATCTTCAAGGTTGAACGGTTTTCGCGGTGTCAGAAGCCAACGCCGAAGTCGGCACGACACGACCCCGCGGCACACGTGTAGCCAACAGTCAGACGCAGGCACGGCATAGTAATCAACAAGCAGCAGCAGCAGCAGCCGCAGCAGGCGAGGAGAGACAAACACGTTTGGGCGTTCCGCATCCTCCCTGGTCGTTTGAGCATCCTTCGGGGAAGAAGAAAAACGTGAACATAGACTTTCGGAGGTCTGCACGGATTGCTTGGATCCGCGCGGAGCTCCGAAAGTTTATATGCGCATGCCCTTGTTTCTTATAGTCATTGTTATTACTCATATTAGTTTCTTGTTCTTCCTCTTGACGCTTGGCGTACCCCCACCAGCGGCGAATATTCCCTGGTGTGGGGTCGTCCAGCTCCGCTTCGCACCCGCGTCCTAACGAGATATTGTGCTCATGGTCATCGTGCTGGTCTGCCAGTTCCTACGACCTATTGGACGCTGAGCCCGCCTCTGAGCCGGGCGTTGCTCCGTGCTGTTCTTTCCTTTGCTTCGGCGCGGCCCGCCCTAGCTTTGCCCGGCTTTCGACCTGCTTCGTGAGCCCGCGAACCAAAAAGTATCCCCACCAGCCCATCCATAACCGACGCCCAAGTGAGTTGAGATGATCAGGGAAGTATAGAAGCAAAAAGGGGGACAGCCCTCATCGCTCGAGGCAGGAGGAGGATGGGTAAGGGATGAGGGGGAAGGATGATTAATTTGCTGATGTGGCGGAGCAGGAGTAGGACAAGGAGGAGGAGGAGGAGGAGTAGGAGGAGGAGGAGGAGGAGAGCGAGCAGACGGGCCAGAGGCCTCTGGAATGCCTCTTGGAGTCTCCTCAGATGTCTCTTGGAAGCTTTGTGGAGGCCTCTTTGGGCGTCTTGGGGGCCTCTTGGCGGCTTCGGCTGCGTCTTTGAGCGTCTTGGGTGCCTCGGGGAGCCTCTTCGGCCTTCTTGGGTCTCTTGGAAGCCTCTTGGACGCCACTTGGGGCCTCCTGGGCGCCTCTTGTGGCCTTGTTGAGGCGCTCTTGGAAACCTTAGGGGCGCTCTTGGGGCCATCTTGGAGGAGATCGACCGAAGAAGGCGAGAGCTTCAATGAGGGCCCCCCTTCGGGAGCGCCTAAGATCGCCTCTTGGGCCGCTCCTGGGGCGCTCTGGGAGCCATCTTCAGGCCTCGGAAGGCCATCGAAAGCAAAAAGGCGAGAAGGCAAACATTAGCTGATTTTCCTTAGGTTTTGGAAGGATGTTGGCCTCTTGGCGGCCTCCTGGGGAGGTTCCATGGCCACTTGGAGCTGTCTTGGAGCGGTCTTGGGGCCTCCTGGAGCATCTTGGAAATCATCTTGAGCCATCTTGGGCAGTTGAGCCATCTTGGAGGTCATCTTGGGCTTTCTGAGGCCCTCTTGGAGCCATCTTGGGCCATCTGGACGTTGCAACCCCTCGCGAAACGCCCCCTCCAGGTCCAGGGGAGGGGGTGAGGGCAAGCTAGGTGCGCTCGCGTCAACATCTGACATCCTACCCCTCCCTCCCATCCCTTCCCATTGAGCTACTTCATTGTCCTCTCACCGAATCGGGCTTCGCATCTGACCCTGTTACCTAAGAGGGAGCATGGGGCCGGGGACCGTTGCACTGCAGCGGCAGCACGATTTGGAACGACCAGCGGCGCGGAAAATAGGACGAACGCTGCAGCGGGAGCAACATTCTGAAGGACCGGAAAGACTCGGATTTTCAAAAACATAGATGAAAACCAAACTCCCGGGAATCCTGTGCGGAAAAGGACGCCGCCCAAAAGGGGGGGGGCTTTCTGCGGCCCCAAAAATCAACGAATCGACACCGGATGTGTAATCACCTCCAATGTTTTTGCCGGGGATCATTTTCTAGATTTGGGGCTTCTTAAAAAGGATCGAAAACGTCGGCGCTGCAGCGGGAGCACGTTTTGGAACAACGAGAGGCGCAGAAATTGGGCCAGCGCTGCAGCGGGAGCACGATTCGGAACGAGCGGGAGCGCGGAAATGAGGCCAGCGCTGCAGCGGGAACACGATTCGGAAGGAGCGGGAGCCCGAAAATTAGGCCAGCGCCTCAGCGAGAGCAGCATTTTAGAAAAAAACACAAGCGAAAACCCAACTCCGGGGAATCCTGTGTGTAAAAAAACAGTACGCGGGGGGGTGCCGAACATCTTCCGGACGCCATCAGGGGAAGTGGGAGAGTAGTATTCATATTGTGTAATTGTGTAGGGGTAAGCCCGTCCCCGAAGGGGAAGAGTGAGGGGTGGAAGAGGAAACGCGCAAAACCACCTACGCCCAGAGGGCTGGTGGGGGATTATGTTTCTCTTGCAAGTAGAAATAATAGCATGCTTATTGTTACTATTCGTATTGTGATTATCATCGTTATTATATTTCTTATAGTATTATTATACTTACTAGTATTAGCATGTTCCTTGTTATTGTTATTATTATAATCCTCCCCCCTCGTCATCACTCTTCCAACCCGCACGCCCCCTCCCCCTTGGTTCGGCAAGGGCCTTCCGCGGAGTGCACTGGCCACTACGAGAGCGCCGGCGGCCGCGCTGGTGCTCCGCTCGGTCTGCTGCTGGCCATCCTG